TCAGTGGATGTGTTTGCATGCGTGTGTGTATTGGTGTGTCACTGATGAATTATGATCCTGTGCCCGCATTAGAGCAGGGAGTTTTAATCACACAAGGATTCAGAGTGTTTTAAACAAATGCTTTTTTTGTAAGCATGGTAGATTATCATAAGATTTAAAGATTTGGAAATGCCTGACAGCTGTCAGGCTGCATAATAACGTACGTCCAGAAAATTATAGCAGCTGCCGTTTGGCAGAATATCAATGCTGGTATCTAGATTAAAGCTCAATAGCCAGAAATATACAGTAAGTGCCAGCAAGCGACACACAGATGCATGAACACACACACAAACACACACACACCCACAAATAGATGCACATAAAAACAGTCACTAACAAGACACATGGATATATTTCAGCAATAGAGGCTTTGAGGAGTGGTGAGAAGATACAGAGATTGCTAAGAGGCAAAGAAAGACAAAACATCACATCTATTTACTTGCTACTTCGATGAGGGGGCCGAATGAGTTTTAAAATGGCGTGCTGGGAGCAGCCTGTGGCAGGAGAAAGGTTCCCCCATGGACTCTATCAGGTATCCTCTTGTGCACTGAAGCAGCCAGCAGTATTAAACACAGCAGGAGCCTCAATAGGAACCTGTTGAAAAACAAGTACACACCACCTCCGGTTCCACAGGGCCTTGTGTGCCTGTATGTCGCCTAATTTATGACATCCTCAGAGGTCCTCCCCTCTCAGAGACTACAACATCTATAACTTTATGCACAAGCACAGCCGCACTGCCAGTGATTTGCAAACACGGATGCCCCGTGAGGATGAGATAGGCTTCCTCCTTCAGAAGAATAAGACCTCTCTGGCTTGTAAGAGAACCCCCTGCAAACACTGCAACAGCGTCTTCACTGAAGAACCTAAAGCAGCGGTTCTCTGCCATAGAAGAGGTCCTTCTCAATTGAGAGAGCGGGCAGACAGAGTGAATCTATCACCAATGCTAATGCGCAGCCGGGAACATTCAAGGGGCCTGAATACCAACTGCAAGATGAGAAAGAGGTCTGTTGGGGGAGAAAAGGTAAAACCTGTGAAGTAGCCTTGAAGCGCTCAGCAGATCCTCACAGACTCCAGGCATGTTAGCTTGAGAAAGGGATGGTAATAACAGCTAGAGGAACTGTGCCCTGCATAATAAGAGACGCCTGAGACTCCTTTTAGATAAGGCTGGGAGCACTTTAGAGCAATGCGACCTGTTCAAATACAAACAAGCAAAGGGATTATGCTGCTTTTAGCACTTACTGAGCATTGTGATTATAAGATCAACAGTGCAGAGAGAATACACTTCTCATATGAGTCAACTTTCAATACTTTTTTTCTCCTTTGGGACCTATGAAGTTATAATGCCTTAAGGATTGTCAAAATATGCGTCTTCATTTTGTGGTTCTGCATGACCATATATGTATAAGAAATCATAACCCTGCAGTTGGAACCTGAAGCATAAAGTTAAACGCCATTTAATGTTAATATGCACCAAGACTGCTGATGAAATTCATAGGCCAGTAAGCCCACACAATTTGAACTTACCTTGTGAAAACTGGCAGTTGTGCTTTTTCAATTCTGCAATAGAGGCATGAAGGATTTGCTCTAGCTGGCCTTCTCCCCCAATATACCATGTAGTGTATACCTCACTGGTCAGGAAGTACATGTCATCCACTGACAGATGCCAAGTGACAAATGATACCATTTTCACAGTCATTGTTTGATTAGTGAAGATAATTGCTCTGCCTTTATCCACATTTTTCTGATTGTGGTGGATATGAATGAGCCTTACATGTAGTGATTTATTCATTCTGTTCTATTACTTTCGCACTTCAAGTGAGAGAGCATACATGGACATAAGGCAAATGTAACACAACCTTCAAATAACGGCTTTGCTCCATTGTTCCAGTCACGTTCATACAAGGTAATGAGTGGCTCTGCTGCACTGTTAAGGTGGCAAGTAGGCAGGAGGGGCTACAAGCAGTGTAACTATTTGTATTGAGGTTCCTCAGTTGGGGCCACTGTTCTTTTTTACAGTTTTAGATAGTTTTAAATGATGTAAAACAGTAAAGCTAATAACATGCATGTGAATTATAACATCTAGCAGCAGAAAAAAGCACATTTTAGAGCAATATAGTGTGTTATAAAGATATTTAGGTGTAAAAAAAATGGATCATAATGACAAATGATAATGGGCTGATTAAAACCCAACCTACATTTGCCACTAAATATTAGTGTCCTGCTTTTCAGAAGCAGACATTGAGCTTTGGGAGCATGCATGTGGTTACAATAAGGGAATGTTGTGGAGGCTAAACCGACAGTTTATATACCTTGTTGTCTGAGCAACTTAAAAGGAAAATAAAACTCTGTTTCTGTGTGTCAGACATTGGGCTACAATTTGGTTTAAGTTTGGCAATGTGACCAGATCAGTAAAAGCAAACAATTCGAATTTTTGACACCAGTTTTTTTTTTTTTTTTTCAGATAATTTTGCCTAACCTCAATCGAAACAAAATAAATCAACATACTTTCTTGTGCGCTTGTGTGCCAGCAACAACAAAGATTGGGGGGGGGGGTGGAAATCAGAGTTGTGAAAATTACCTTGAGCCTGAGCGCTGTGGATAAAAGTCGCCGACAACAGAATCCAACAGGAGACCCACACCTGTCCGACTTGTCCAGTCCGCCCAGCTGTAACCATGGTCCGCGGCACCACCGTCGAGACCCCGGTGCGCCTTCCCCGTCTCCACGCTGGGGACATGTTGCTCGGTGCTCACACACTCCCGGGAAGTCCTGGCTGCTGCCGGTCCTGTGCGTCAGACTGCTCCTCACTGGCGATGAGGGTGAGTGACTGGGGGATTGTGGGGAGAGCTCACTCCGTCAGAGAGCACGGCGCAGGCAGACAGGCACGCGGTAGTATGAAAAGCCTGTGGTCCCGCATGAGCAAGGCGGAGTCAGTCCAATTGAATTTTCTCGGCTGTCAAGTGTGCGAGACGGAATATTGACATATACTAACTGCTCCGAATAATCTCTGCATGTGTAGCAAAGAGAGATTAGTTCAATCAAAAATATAGAGTATAAAACGAGTCGACACAGAGTGCAAGTTTATATGATTAGATGACAGCTTTTGCGCAATCCAAAATTGTAATGTCAGTAATTATAAATGATAAAAAATCTCTTATTTGCGCATTTGTTCTTTAAATACTTTACCAATGCAGCTGCTTTTGAGCAAGGCACTCTATTTCATTACCAAGTGATCAGCAGTAGTTTGCACAGTAGCTTAAAGGTGTGTGCTGTTTGAAAGTGTAATACACCTTCCTATAAAGTATTATGTGCGTAAAAAACGGTCTTTATAGTTCCATTGTGCCATTATACGCTGCCACAGACTACACATTCGGGCATTTAATGAATTGACCATCTTCTTAAACCATAGCAGCGCGCACAACCCGAGCCCAGGACAAGTCAAGTGCTCTGTACGCTATTGCCCCCACGCGGCAGAAAGTTGAAGGACATTTCTATTTGGACAGCTGTGATTGATTGTTGACACATTCAAACTAAAAGCCTGGGTTTTTCAAACTACCTGATGACAACTAAATCTTTACAAATAGCCGATTTTGGATGTTTCTACTACCAATGATAACGCATTAACTGGGTCACAAATGGTTTGAGCCCCCTTCTGTAAATCTATTTGTTCTGCACTGGCCTCAGTTAACCCCTGGCTCTGTGGTGTGGTTAAAAGCAGAACAGCCAAGCCATTACACAGACAAATGGCAAAGGAAATAGCTTACACCTGGGCAATTTAATGTGATTCAGAAATTAATCTGAGATCAAGCAGGATAGCAGACTGTTATCGTCTCTGAATGCTTGAGCCCTATCAGAATATTTCCTCTATCACGACACAGGGGATAAAAGGCGAGTTTGAAGGCACAGAAATGGGGGGGCACTTCTGAAACCAGAGGGTACATATGGGCTGTGATTTCGGCTTTGTTGTCCTTGCTCCTTTTGAGCCTACTGAAAAAATTGCATGCGGGCAAGGTAAGCTTGAAAGAGCTGTCACAGTTTTTCTGCCTTAAAAACATACCCGTCTGTGTGCCATTAGATTTTGTGAGTACTATCGACTACAGGGAACATCCAAGCTACCATGAGCGAGGTAAATGCTGCCGCTGCTTTATAAAAAGCCTGGTTAAAGTGTAAACAGAGGTGGCTCTCTCTGCCTGTGGGATGTTGCCTCACCTCAGTCCCTTTTATGCTGTGCTTTGTGTAGTCCCGCAGTGATTTCCCCTGTCCTTTGCTCTACAAATAACCAACTTCCCCTTTTCCCTTTGACTTATAGCTACAAAGAAGCTTGTTTGGCGTCATCCATATCTCCCTCCCTTTTTATTTTCTCTACCCCCACCCCGCTGCCACCACCTTGCACCAATCCCCTCCTGATAATGATGTGCTGATTATGAGGCTCTTAGGCCAGCAGATTGCTCTCCAGTCTCATTCGCATGCAGTGGAAAATTGCTGCTGTCTTGGAGCCCCCCCCCCCCCCGTGCGTATCAGGCAGGTTGACATTAGCAAGCTGTTGGGAACAGTGCTCAGGCACCGGGGCAGGTGCTCTGTCTCCGTCTTTATAACTGTTCCCCAGCAAAGGGAACAGAGCCTGCCTGATGCGACAAACCACGCAATATGGTAGTGTGTAGCTGACATTTACACATATGCGAATAGCTACTTTTACTTGTTAAGTGAGACCCATTAGGTGACAGTGTTACAGATCATTATATATATATATATATATATATATATATATAGTAAATATATATATATATATATATTTACTCATCTGCTAACATCAAAAGGACAAAAGTCTTTCATTTTCAAAGAAATGTTAGAAATGTTTTCTAATGTGAAGAATATTGAGGGTGGTTGGTTCAGGGATAAAGAGTCAACGCAATGGATTTAAAGATGAGCACATGGAGGCAGGAGTTCCAGATAATTCTTTTTATTGTAACTTGTTGATTCTTGTTATTCCTAATTGTTGTCTGGTTGATCTGGTAAGAAAGTACAACACATCTTAATTAGCTCAAACATAATATTCATGCTTCAAATTATAATCCAGCAAAGCAGTTATCTTTTTACATAATTATATGTAATGTATAAATAAGGTAACTAAATGCAATCTAAACAGTACAGAAAATAGGGAAATAAACTACTCCAGCTGCTATGAAAATACAATACAAAGGAAAGGAAAACTTACTGATCATTTCCTCAGACAAACAATTGGTGCTCAGGAGTTGCATGAGGCCAGCCAGCTTCTTTGTTCATTGGGGAAAGGATTTGCCACAGGTGAGCTGGCTGCCTTTATTGATTAGCTAGCTCCGCCCATCCAGGGTGGCAGGAGGAGGGAGCAGGTAGAGGGAGGTTGGAGTGGGAGAGGGATTTTCCACATAATGTGTTCGATCAAAGCATTCATCTTCATACAGTAATTCCAGTCTTAATGACAACCAAAAATATTGACAGAAAAAAGAGAAATGAAAAAGAGAAATGGCACCTTTCAACACATATCACTGTAGATTTTGATCGTCTAAATGATTAGAAACTCTTTAGAGACAATGACCAACAAACAAAACAGTGTGAGATTCTTTAGAAAACTTTAATGTCATGTTCAGCCTTGAACAACATTGGACTGCGTTTTTTAACCGCACAAGTCTCTCTCTTAACGAGTGACTTTTCGTTTAAAGAACGCAGAAAATAAGTTAATGTGGTATTAGTCTTATTCTTTTGTCAATCAGGTTTAATTTCCGATATAGTATTTTATTTTGTTGTTATTTGTTCCGCTCATGGTACGCAAAACCCAATGTACAATAATTGCCAACAAACATGTCTCTACAAACACACCATTGAGCCAAAAGGAGCAGGGAGAAGAAACACATCTTATATTAACTGCCCCTTTCTAAAAATAAGAAAAAAGAAATAGAAATAGATGGTCTGTCCTTCATATTTCTTTTTCACAGCCAAACTTATTCACAGCCAAACATAACAGTATCTTAGGATACAAAGAGAAACACAAAAAATACTTATTTCCCACTTGACGGTTAACGGAAAGAAACAAAACAACAACAAAAAACAACAACACCAAAACATCACATGTATAAGGAAAAGGAAAAGGAAAAGTGCAACACCCTCATCTGAGTTATACTGGAGAAGAAGGTGGAAAGCGGCGCATAATAATAATAATAATAATAATAATAATAATAATAATAATAATAATAATAATAATAATAATAATAATAACAATGGGACCTGCAAATAAAGAACAGACATCACATCAAAGACTTCAACAATATTTACCAATGCAGGACCAGAGTGCATAGACTTATTCACATTCTGCTTCATATATTTTGCAGGTCTCCCTTGAAAAAGAGATCTATGATCTCAATGGGACCAATCTGGTTAAATAAAGGTTTGAAATGAAATGAAAAATATAGTCCCATTTTTCTTAATTTATACAATTTCTTTAACTGAAAAAATACATATACAATTCTTTAGATCCTTCTGTTGAGAATTCCACAATTTTACACCAACCACCGAAATACACATTTGCTTTAGAGTAGTCCTTGCATAAGGATGCTTAAAATTAAATTTCCTTCTGTCGTCTTCCTTGTCTGATCCAAAAACAAACGACTGTTATAAATATACTGTTAACATTCTGCTTTTTGCCCTGTGCATTACTAATAATGTCTGTAACTCAACTATGTCTTTGAATTTCAAGAGTCCTTAAAAACAGTCTGTTGGTGTGTTCTCTTGAATCAGCTTTATGAATTATTCGTACTGCTCTTTTCTGTAATATTGACAATGGCTTTATGTTGGTCATATACGTGTTGCCCCACACTTCAATACAATAAATAACAAATGGCAAAATGAGTGAACAGTACAACATTCTCAATGCCTTGTAATCTAGCAAATACTTTGCCTTGTTTAGAACAGAAATATTCCTAGACACTTTCATTTTAACATGTGCTATTTGTGATTTCCATGTCAGGTTATCATCCAGTGTCACACCTAAAAATCGAAATTCAGAAACCCTTTCAATAAAAACTCCATCAATGGACAGTGAACTCTGCCGCCAGGCTTCTCACCCGCACTAAGCCATGGCAACATATCACCCCCACCCTCATCCACCTCCACTGGCTGCCGGTCAAGTCCCGGATTCACTACAAAACACTCCTCCTCACGTACAAGTCCCTCCATACCCTCGCCCCCCAGTACTTAACAGACCTCCTACATCCCTACACCCCTTCTCGGAGTCTGCGGTCCTCAGACACGGGCCTGCTCTCCATCCCCCGCTCTCGCCTTCGTACTGTGGGTGACAGGGCGTTCAGTGTTGCGGCCCCCACCCTCTGGAATGCACTTCCTCCTGAGATCCGGAACGCTGCCTCACTGGACATCTTCAAATCCTCACTAAAAACGCACCTGTTCACCATGGCCTTCGGACCCTAGTCCTTTCCTGGTCCCCTGGCTTCCTTTATTTTATTTTATTTTGTTCTTGTTTTGTTCGCTCCTCATTGTCTGTTTTGTTTTGTCTGTCCACCATGTACAGCGACCTTGGGTCCTGTGAAAGGCGCTTTATAAATTCCATTTATTATTATTATTATTATTATTATTATTAGTGAAATGTTTTCATCTTTTTTTTCTATTAGCAAAAACCATAAACTTAGTTTTATTCAAATTTAGGGTTAACTTATTTTCATCAAACCATCTTTTAAGTTTGACCATTTCATGTCCAATACACTTTGCTAAAATGTTGAAATCATCTCCTGAACAAAAAAAATTGGTGTCGTCTGCAAACAACACAAATTGCAATAATGTTGACGTTTCACAAATAAAAAGTTTAAGCCCTAAAACCGAGCCCTGTGGGACACCACATTCTATGTTCATACACTCCGATGTACTACCAGCAAATTGTACATATTGTTCTCTGTTATCTAAATAACTTTGAAACCAATCTAGAACTACTCCTCTCACACCATATCTATGTAATTTCGAAATGAATAGGTTATGGTCTATAGTGTCAAATGCCTTTTTTAAGTCAATAAATACACCTATTGTGTATTTCTTTCTTTCTTTCTATAGCTGTTGTAATTTCTTCTGTTATTTTCATTAAAGCTAAAGCTGTAGATCGATTTTTCCTAAATCCATATTGAAGTGGTGAGATAACAAAACTAGTTATATGCTTTTATGTGACATTCACATTTCTAGGACTTGGATAGACCAATCTTTTCTCACTCATCGGTAATTATCTGAGTCATTAGAGTGTTGATCCTTTTGACAAATTAGGATCTTTGAATGTTTAAACATTTTCTAACAAGCCGTTTCTCAATTGGATTTGAAATGGCTTGATTGAAATGTGTTTCATTTGAGATTGGCCCGATGCTTCACTTATGCATGCAGGCATGATAGTGCAAAGTTGCCATGGATTACCAGCCTTTGCCAATCAAATGTGGTGATACCAACAGCAAATGTTTAAAAAAAGTCCAGCCCAGCCATTTGCTTCAGCTTTGTTCTTCATTCTTTTATGTGCTCCTGTGTAGACGCTGCAGCCATTTGTCACACATGTTGCTATTATTGTTTTTCCAATATGAGTCTGCTCTCCTCAGAAAAGAATGTGTTCCCTAACAAGTATCAGCACACACACACTCTCTCTCACACACACACACACAAATAGATACAATACACATGTTGCTGGATCTGTCTTGACACCTCATCTATACCATCTCGCAGAGAAAATCAGATTTCTCCACAGTAACAGATCATCTCACAGCTCTTTCCTTGAGACAGAGGTAAACTCCAACTGCAAATTGAAACATGAAAAATACAACCACGCTGCCGCCACAAGATGCATAGCTGTGTCTCAGCAAAGACATCAAATGGTAATATCACATTCTATGCCGCACCCTTAGATCTGTTTTACCCTCACAACAAAATAGTATTTGCATGTATTTGTGCATATAGGCTTAGGAGGATTCCACCATACATTTCTAAATACATAATTGTAGACAATATTACATTAACTCTACAGCACATCAAATGCCTCCTGTAAAGCTATCTCAGTTTATGTTTAAAAGAAACAATGGTGGGTGGGTTTCAGAATGTTAATAATATCAGAATGTTATATGGTTATCACCCACGGGACAACTCACTTAGGAATATTGCCTTGAATCAGTGGCATAATTGGTCTCCTCCAGTCTCACTTTGATGTAAATAACATTAGCAATTTTCCAGTCATTTTGCATTGATCTTTCACTGCAGTATTCTGCCCCAAGAAGCAGCTGGAAATTGAATGTCTTAAACTGGAGATGTGAAGGGTGCATTTCATTCAAGTTGTCTGAGAAACTGCACACCCTGAAAGATGCAACATTATTGGGATTGATTCTGTGCTTTGCTAGTGCTACAGGCAATTTCTGTCCACTATACAGAAATGAGAACATGAAATGGTATACATATTCACTGACATTACATTTAATGGCCATTGCAGAATCAAAGAGTGACATTATGACTTCTCATTTTGCTATATAATGCCACTCCAGGGCCAAGTCTTTATCAGACTGTTTGCTTTCAACATAATTCCTTTCATAAATCCAGCTTGCTTCGTGACAATTTGACATTTGTTTAGTGAATGTTGTGTCCTATTTTACGTTTGGAACTATTGCTCCTTCCTGTGTTACGCCCCGTGACCTTCACCACACTGATTCCTCAATTTATTATTTCTCTCCAAATCCTTGTTTAGAATGAATAGCTTGCAATAGAAAGCACGGCTATTGTGTTTTTGTTTCTCTGTCCTTTCTCTCATTTAGTTGGCTCCATTTTAGCAGCTGATAGTGTGACAGCTGCACACTCCACAGCATATTAAGAACCTACTTTCATTACATATGGTCATTTTGAGATGTAGAATGAGTGCAATTGTAGTTAACAGCACCACATAAATAGCGAAACAATCAATGTGTACGACATTGCGCTGCAGAGTTATGAGTTTTCTCTGAAAATAAATCTAATCAACAAATCAACAATGATGACTGCTTTTTTCCCTTGGTTATGGAAAGCAATTCATAAATCACAAGACAGTTTTGATTCCTTTAAACAAAGGGAGGTAAACATGTGAATAGGAGGCAGGATGATAAGACTTGGTAAGTTTTAGATCACTGGCTGATAAAGGTCATCTGTGTCATCTTCACATGCAGCTGTTGGAAGGTAATTAAAGCAGCCATTTACATACAGAGCAAAATAATTTTTCCCACTTCTCAACTCTGCCTTTTGGCTGATCGCATCATACTGCAAAATCCTTGAGCCCATAAACCTCGCCATGGTATATCATGGCATTATAAAATACCCTGGGCACAC